TCTCATCAGTTCACATTTGCGATTACCGAACGCGATGTTTACCACTCAAGTATGAAAACGAAGCACACGTCCTAGACTCCACTGCCAGCTACCACCAGTTAAACGATAGCAGTTAAGTAGAAACGGTGATAGTGAATGTCCTTGGTGGACATCATTGGCTGTCTTTATTTCAGACATAACTAAGTGAACTAAAAATGTAACGTTGAAGATAATTTTGTTTTCCATAACTTTATTTACTAAAGTTGTACAATCACATCTGAAATCATTGGAAACAAATAACGGTCTGTTATTAATTCGTAGACATACCTGAATACAATGATGTTTAATAGTAGAATAATACGTTTTCTATGAATAGAGGGAAATTAGCGTCCTAAATAGCTGTTGTCAGTGGATGAACGCACTAGTCAGTCATCGAAATCTCCCAGCGAAGGGGTATTCAAGGGAACTCAAGAAACTAGACGAGAAAATGGACTTAATCTTCTTTTACTAAGACGGTGGTTAGGGAATCGTGGTACTCAATCAATTCAACTACATCAATAAATTATAACACTTATTTTCTGATGAGACAGGTTTCAACAAGACAATTAGATGAACAGAAAATGTCATAAAAACCCTAAATAAAATGAAAAACGGATTAGTGATTTATGTAGACCTATGTGAAAAACTCAGACTATGTGGTTCTGTCATCCCCAGGTTATGTCTTATCAGTATTCTTGAATCAGTAAGGAATCATATGGTAAAATATTGCCCAAGAACACCTTTGATTTCACTGAATTAGTTAAAAAATGTCAATGTTTTCAAGGAGAATAAATGCTTTCCTTGGATTTTACTTCTCGCCTTACAATCAAGACCACCTGCTTAGTTTATGATGACTTAGATACTAACATACCTCTCAGCTGCTTCTAAGATACCTCTTCAACAGTCAATTGAAGTTCATTGAAAAAAAGATGGTATAAGAATGGTGTTCCCTAATAATCCACTTCTAGCTTATTTTTGTATGGTCTGTCTTGAAAATAGTGTCATTTATCCACTTGTCAGCCAAATATACGTTTATGAAAGGTATGTCAATGAAAATGTTCTCATATATGATGAAGAATTTGATTTTAAAAACCTCCTCAACACTTTCAATACTGCACATCCATGCATAAAATTCACTCTAAAGTATTAAATGAATTTAATGTTCCCATTCTTGGTTGTGTGCCATTAATAAGAAGATTAGATAATTTTATCTAGAGATCAGTGTACAGAAAACCAGCATGAACTGAGCATTTTATCCACTCCCGAAGCTATTTAACCACACAGCAAACAGAACCTTATACTTTGGCAATATTCAAGAATTTATATAAAGGGCTGGTTTGAAGATATGCTATATATTCAGCTACGATTTCCGTTTAACATACTACTATCAAATGGTTATCCATCTAGATTCATTGACTCTAACGTGAATAAACAGCAACAAATACAAAAATTAAGGACTGTCTCAAAGGAAACCTCCTTCAGAAATTTAGGATTTAAAGGTAAGATCCTCATAAATCACCTGTCAACATCTTTGAGGAAGTCATTTCAGGCAGCCAAACACGGAATCATGTTTTCCAGCAGACAATTAGTCCATCAATGCATTGAGGACAGCATATTGTTTATAGCCTTCTCAATTTGCATCTTCCAGTCTACTTGTTCCTGTGCAGTAGCGTAGACCAACCGTATAGTGTTAAGCCCATAAATGTATTTTTGAACTCTGTCTAACTGGTTACAGTACTGGATTTCTTCTTTCCACAGAAATCATCGTTTTATCCTGCCGTGGTAATCCTGTGACCATGTGGATAAATAATTGACTATCATTTTGACTATCCGAGATAGCCATGGTTTGGTAGACTAGAGTGATACTGGGTGGTGATAGAAGGTGTATAGCTTCAGTAAATGAAATCAGCGAGCAGAAAATCCTGTTCGCTGTTATATTCTTGTTTTAGTACTTAATACGGGAAGCTTCCGTTCACTTGTGAAATGACCACATACAAATCCAATATGTTCCTATCTCTTTATTTGCTCCTGAACCATGATTCCGCACTTAAATTCTGAACACTTCCAATGAGGATTCAATAAGAAAGCGTTAAATACGAGCAATCGTGTGTCTTCTCTTGTGTGTGAATTTTGTGCCAAGTTAATTCCTGTAAATCGTTTCGAAATCGTGCCTACTCATCACAAAAGCTGTATCGCCAATTTTTCTGAAAATCTTTTTCCTCAAAAGACTCCGGTAGGTATCTTCCTAATATACCATCTGAAGAGGACCTCATTATGTAATAGTTCACTTGCTGGCTAGTGGTGGAATCCTAAAAAACACGTTTCGTCCTATTTGAGTTTCATCAGCTAGGTGTACCTGCACCCTAGTTATCTCATTATTTTGGATTGGACAAATTATATCAGTATCAAATCAGAAGATAATCTGCATCAGGTTGTATTTTTTAATGAAACCAAGTAAAATACATCGATCGGAAACACATATGACTATTAGATTAAGTATCATGACAGCTAAATAACTTCAGACGCGATGAAGAGTTTAATAAACCTGTAAAATTGGTCAATCCTTCGCACCATTTCTGCGATCAACTGGGCAAAGAATCTATGTCTATGTCACAAGCGACCATGTACCAATCCATCCATAAAAACCCAATGATTCGTCATACTAATAGTAATTAGATTTTGAGGTAGTATTTATCACTGACTAACATCAGTTGGGGAACTACCGAATACCTGGCAGCACTGGACAGCTGTTTCATTCTAGTTTACAGCTCCCCAGCATTACCCACCCACGACCCGACTAAGGATCGAATTCAGGACCACGAAATTTCATAGCGAACTTGTTAACTATCCAGCCACTGAGTTAGAGTTCAGTGGTTCACAGTTTCTTACTTCTGTCAAGTCGTGGTATAGCGCAGCTATCACCCAAGATCTCTGGACGGCATCCGCTTCCTTTCCGACTGGTTAACCCCACAAGTCATGGCTTCTCATTAGAACTTCATGATATCCATCTAGAAGCATGACACTAATAAGAACTATAGAGTAATGTATTTTAGAGATGAGTAGGGATTTGACTTTAAAATTAACGTTGACGGAGAGCTTTTTACTGTCTCAACAACAGTCAATACAACTGACAGCGATGCTGAAGATATATATATATATATATATATATATATTTCCAAGTGGCCTTGACAGTACTAAATCCACATGCAGATAAAAATAGTTAACAACCAATGAGAGTTCAGCCTTGGGAACAGCGGAAAAAAAACTAGTAACGGTATGAAAACAGTCATATAGATTATTTTAAGGTCACGGGCAACACAGTAGGGAAAGGCTATGCAAAATTAGGTGTATGTAGCAATCTCTTCAGAAGCTTAGAAAATATATACTAATAAGGCTTGAAGATCTATTTAAGGCTTACTTTAGAAATCTTCTGATGTTTGTAGCCAGAGTTATAATAATTTGCAGTCTTTGCTTTATAAGACAGTACAGATCAATTTACTACGAGGGGTGATTTTTAGTGAATTCTTGGTCATATAGATCATGAAGTGACATTGGCTAGGGAACCACTGAAAACCTGAGCGTACTGACTAGCTGTCGAGTCTTAGTCTGGAACTCCTTGGTGATGTATACTTGTGGCCCATTGTGAAATCGGACTCAAGATCACTTCATCTCATAGTAAGCACCTTATCTTCATAGAATCAGAATCAAATAGGCCACGTTCTCCGACCAATTTGCGATTTAGAGCAAGTGTTTGTTTTTATATCTGACTTGGTTCACACTAGATCACGTCCTATTTTATTAGGAATTTGAAAAATGAGCACTAGACAGACCATGGTTCAACCCCTCACATGTCCATAGGTTCACACTGCTGAGCACTATCCATCTTGGATATAACACCTGTTTATCGACGCCATGTTTTTAATTATTCTCAACCTGATATTAATGCATGATAAAACTTACTTCGAGATCAATTAATCTACATAAACCACCAAATGAACTTCACATACTTATTTCGTTAAGAAGTGTTAACAAAGGGAACTTTAGAGTCAACCTAAACTCAAAGTATACATTGTATCGGATTCGTAAAGTGCTACGGAAGTCCTCTTAAATAAACATATCAAACATATGAATGTGACGCTATATCGAGAAGTGTTAGAAGAAGGGAAATACGGACCATTAGATCCTGACTAAGTGGTTTAGTCGGAACATGAAGGTCCTAGATCTGACCACTGGAGGAATCATGGCTATGGACAGCTGAAGAGCTTCATACAGAGAGGAAACAGCTGTACATTACTCCCAGGTTTTCAGTGGATCTCCAAGTGATGTATCCCACCCTAAAATTTAATGAAAGCCGAAAATCATTACTTGGTTGATAAGAAGTTGATTTTATAATGAACTCATATTAGCTGGATATTTAGCAGAAGGTGAAGAGAACTTGGCATCAATTTCATCCTTAATAGGACTGTTCAACAGCATCATCTCTTAGAAAAGAAAAGTAATGGGTGTTGGAACCAGAAAATTCAGATTTTAGAGCAGATATGTCATCTCACTAAACCATTTAGTAGTTGGAATATCATATTAATCAATCAACTGGGAATACAACCCAATCAACCAGTAAAAAAGTTTTGTCAGTGAGCATCTGTTCCTATTGCTTTCTCAGTTGATTGACCTTAAAAATCACTGGCTCTAATTTTCACTTTCAGAATACAATTTTTCATTCACTTGTGGATTATCATATAACTACACGGTTTGTATGAATATCAAAGTCTCTATCATGTAGAGTTTTTTTGCTCTTTCCAAATTTTTAATTTCACATGTGTCCACATTCATTAGTTTTACATATGTATAATGCAATATATTACTAAACAATAATGACGAATTTCCCAACCTGTACATCCATATTCCTAACTTACTGTTCTTATGTAAGTGAAAATGTGGACATGTGGACACGTGTGTTCGTCTTACTATCCAGTCTGTCTGTATGCTCATCTGTTTATCTTCATGTCATTTTCTCAACTAGAATTAATCGATAGCTCATTAATAGGCTGATATATATGCATATGTACATGTGCGCTTGTTATTTAACCAAACTTTTTAGGATTATTCAAATACAATTTGTGATAACCATTCTAATGAAGGAGTATATTAGTAATTAATAAGTCTATATATAATTTTAGTAATTGATATTAGCATGCATTTTAACGCTTAAGAAAGCCACCAGTAAAATATTGTCAGGTTTTTATCAAGATGGACAATAATCACTGGGAGGAATACAACACATCATATTATTTTCGTTTATCATTTCTAATATGCAAATGGAAATAAAATCTAAACATTTAAAAAAGAGAATATAATCACTTATGATAAGTGTAAAGGACACTATAACCAGGTCTGATATTGGCGTTAAAAAACAGAGTGGAATTATTTCAGAGGAGATCAAGAAGCCTAATCAATATACACCTGTGAATATTAAGAGAATAAATCTATGTTTATGTAAGAAATCCCAGTTGTCAGTATCATCCTCACGTTCTTCATCTGCAACTTCATCATCCATTTCACCGAATTCCGTGCTGATACCTTCATCGGATTCTGTATCTATATCTGGATTATATCGAAATATACCTGATAGTGTTAATAATACTGATACTAATGATGATAATAGTATTAAACACTCTTGCACAGATAAAAATGTCTCTAATCCTCGTAGACAATTATTCAACAAATTTCAACTGGATAAACCATCATGGTTTACGCTTAATAGTGTTAGACGTAAAAGGCATTCCGATAAGATGATTAAAACACGCTCTGAATTTCCGATAGTCGAACAAACTTCATGCACGCAGGTATGTTTTTTTATGCTAGTTGTTATAGTAATTATTATCAGCTGTGTTACATATACAGACTTTATTTAAAATTTGAAGAAGTAGCGTTTTGAGCGATCAGTAGAATACGCTAGCTTGACTCGGTGTTTAGCAGTTATCTATATAGTTAATCATCGTCGAGAATAGGAAATACTCGAAAGAGACAGGTGTCTTTTAGGTCTTCGTATTATTTCTTAAGAATCACGTTGCATAATGATCTATAAGATACATTGAAATCGTAGTGATGTTGTGTACCGGTAAGGCATTTTCTTATTCGACTGCTACCATGACTTGTTGATTTCTATTTGGGGGGTTTGTAGAGATTTATTGATTTCAAGTCGGCACTTATCATGGACTGACATCAGTTGGCGGAAAATTGGGAACCTTGGGAGACTGGACAGCTGTTTCTTCCTAGCATGGGACTCCTCAGCAGCGTACATCCATCACCTCACACTCCCAGAGATCGAACCCAGAACATTTGGCTTACATGGCCAGTACGTTATCATTGAACAACTGAATCAGAATCCATTGGTTCATATTTCCAACTTCTGTCAGTTCACTATAAAGCGCGATCATCATATAATGTCATCGTTGAGTATTTGTTCTCATGTCTACCAAGTTTGCTTACCAGGTATTTCTTAACTTCAGAATATCGCGTTAGTTAATAGAACATCCTAGCTAACTAGATGATAGTGGCATTATTATACTGTGATTTGATAGAATACGAGGGGTATCGATCATCCGATAGCACAATATATGACCGCCTCAACTTCGATTTCGCAGAGGAACGTACTGATGCTTTGTCAAAAATTCTCAAGCTAAACATGGACAGATTTCTAGTGCTATCTCTGGTTTCAATAGATTCCAAAGTGATTTCGACTGATTATGAAAGTTGCTTTGAATGGTATTTGGGACTTCGTAAAGAGAGAAGGAGGAGAGCACTACACTTTCCAAATTGAATGGCTTACTCATTTGCTTGATTCTTGAACACATTGCCAAATTTTATTGTTAAGGCACCATAAATATGGCTGAACATAGAAATTGTTGATTGTCTTGTTACTTCTTCTAAGAAGTGTCTCATTGTGTAACCATTGCGTAAAAAGTTACTGTATCTGTGGCGGAACGTCACCCAATTTGTAGAACAATACACCACTATATCTAAGATCCTACATACATTGATACCGAAAATGGTTTCTAGTCTAACCATTTACAGACTTTCCTTACATAACATATCGTTCCGCCTCAATTCACATCTTCGAACCCACTTGGTTTCGACTGATGGACACATGGTTACGATAAATACTGTTCACAGAGTTCGAGCAAAGAAATTACTTTTGTATACAACAATGAAGACTCATTAATTGAACTGCATATGATCACATTTGCTTCAGATAGGCTCCACTTAAAGTTAGTAATATCTTCAGAATAGTTAAAGTTTAAATCTCGGTACTCACATGCACACACATACACACCAGCTGTTAGCTTGTCTTACTTTCGACAACAACACATATTGTGTATATCCATTGACCCAACTTCTGTTGCACAATAGCACATAGATGATATCATAAAAAGTATTTAAGGCGGCGCGTTTTAGTCTCGTTTTCTTTTCTGCCTGATAGCTCAATATTTTTAGAAACTTTTATTTGTCCATTGGGTTCCAAGTAGGACATAGGGATTCCACAGCACGTCACCATTTCACTATCTATTCTGCAGCCTTGTTAACCTGGCTCCACGATTGCCAACAAGCTCTCATTTCTTCCTCACACAATCTCCTCCATATCTCCCTCAGCTGGGACGCCAAACTCGTCATATCACATTCCGGTTCCACTCGACGACATCGTCTGGCACGTGATGTCCCTAAACCATCTTAGCAGTCAGTGTATATCCAATACAAACCAATCTATCTCCACTTTCTTCTGCATATCTGTTTTATGCTGAGTGGAGTGTAGTGGAGTGGAGTAAACCTCAACACTGATTTGAGATTCATGAAGTGAGGCCTGTGTTGTTGTGTTTGTGTTTCCGATCCTGGCTTTGACATGCTAATTTGTGGCGTCGCCACCTGTAGTTGAAACGATGCTGCCTGTGTAGATAGGTGAAAGGGATAACATGTATTAGATTTCTCCTATTGAAGGTGATTGGTGCTTGTTGTTGTTGTTGTCGGTGGTGGTGGTGGTAGCGGCGGTTGGGTATCTTCATCACCTCCGTTTTATCTACGTTCACTTGAAGGAAGTCCCATCTTACTTCGACGCCTCACCTCGTCTCACCTCTTCTTTCGACCTGTTAGCTTTCACCTGTAGATCTTCGAGTTTGTGCAACATTAGACATAAATCATCATCGTTGGCGAAATCCAAATCTTCTTCTCAGCTCTTTTCAAAGGTCCAGCCAGCTTATGCCCATCTTCTCACAGCTCCTCACAGTCGTCTGCCACATGATCCAGTCCAGTCGACTACAATCATGAAGATCATCAGTGATGGTAGGCGGCAACCTTGTCTTACTCCTCTCCAAACTTCAAAGACATCACTGAGTAGCTTTCCATAGTGAGTCATTTGGCATGTAGCATCATATGGCATATAGCTGCTGTGTGTTGAATGAGTTTGATGAAGATTTGTGACACTGAAGGTGTAGTGTTGAAGCAGCTGTCTGTCAAATTACTTCTCGGTCGACGCTGTCGATGACCTTTTCGAAATCGATGAAGTTGACGATAAGGTAAATAGTTGACTGTCATTCTATGTTGTGTTCAATGATGATGCGTAGCGTGGTGTAGAGTCGCGTTGCAATTTGATGCGTACATGATTTGTTCTTCCTGAATCTATCCAGCCAGCCGTCCAGGCAGCCAGCCTGTTCTGGTTGTAATTTTGAAATGAGAGAAGTTTATATTCTCTGCAGTGTGATGCGGCTTAGTGGTTTGCTTTCTTGTGGTGGACAGGAGCATTGCTCCACACCAGTTACTGCGAAGACTTATGTCACCCTTCTTTGAGAGTTGATAACTCAAGATTACTGCGAAACTTATTTCCAAATGAAATGTTATGAAAGTTACTTGACTCTTTTAGGCTTAAACTTTCTGATTGAAAGGAGTCACACCTGATAAAAAGACAGATAATCTATTATATTTTTTGTTCTTCTGTTGTACGTTTCTGGCATCATTCTTGTGTATGACCATAATAAGGGGATTTCTCTTCACATTTGCTTTAAAAAACGACTAGTCTACTTCATCTTGTTTTCATATTGTCATATTTGACGTTGTAAGATGTAAATCTACTAATTTTTGAAGGTAAATTATTCAGTTCAAAGGAATTTTGACTTCACCCGATGCACTGTTTTATCATATTGATAAGATAAAAATGAACTGGCAAAGATCATTCAAGCTGTGAATGAAGTGGAAAAGTTTTTACACAATCTAAATTGACTACTTTTGCTCGACTGAAAAAAATAAAGTTTTGCGTTTTGTTTAACTTCTATAGCTTATTTAGAAATATCAGTTGGCTTTCAGTCATGATAGGCTTCTCATCGACTGTCGGAATTTCAGATATATTCCTCGCATAAAATATTGTACAGTGAGGTGCCAACTATATTAGTATTGTCATACAATATTAGTTTTAGTCGTTTAACGAAACTCCTGAGACTTGCCTAAGATGGCTTTATTCTGCGGATCAGATCAGTTGTGGCTGTCTTAATTTTGTCTATAATTTTGTCTTCAAATTTACTAATTTCATCAGATAATACTCTTTTAATGTGTTCATTGATGCTGGTCATGTAATCCACCTTAGATGGGACTTAGGGATTACTACATTATTATCATTTATTAGATTCCTTAGTATCAGTATTTTTGGTTTAAAGTTGGTATTCGTCTTGGACTGACATCAGTTGGAGGAAGACTGGAAATCTTGAAGCACTCGACAGCTGTTTCATCTTAGTATGGGACTTGTCAGGGTGTGCACTTATGACCCCATCAGGGATGAGTGCGTACTAGAACAAAACAGCTGTCCAATCCTCCCAGGTTTCCAATGTTCCTTCAACTGATGTCAGTCCATGATGAATACCAACCTGAAGTCAATAAATCCCTACTAACACCCGAATCAGATTTTAGGTTTAGTTAAGTTTCACCTCACGTAGTTTCCCCGACTTAATCTCTCAGTACAGATTATACACGAATCTGATCAACAGCTATCTTGTTTACTGAGTTTAACGCTACTTCTATGTTAGGAGAGATTACTTCAGTAATTTAAGTGCACAACTGGCGCACTGTGGTAGGATATAATTCCCTACCAGATTCGTTTATTTGATATATAGCGCATAGTGATACAGTATTATTTACTGGATGATGTTTCGATCATCAGTTATTGCTCATAATCATGTTACTGTAATCACACTCCTTCCGACATCTGATTTCTATAGTCCTGTCACCTGATATTTTTTGTTTATGTTGGTAGTCAAATACTCCATATCTCTAGTATAGGTGTTGCGTGATTTCTTATGCATTTTTTAGGTGTTGGTTAATTCGATGAAGAAAGATTCAGTAATAAGCAGTCTCTCTCTCCACCTAAACATATTGGACTTAAGTACAGTGGTTTCGTCTCACCCTATTGTGTGGTTGTGTGTTAATGCATCTATTGCGATAGAAGAGTTTTTTTCTAGATTATTCATGTTAGCAGGGTCCATCCTTCTACATTTGACCAACTTCTTACTATCCACTAATCTAACTGCCCCCGACTGGCTGGTCTGACCCGTTCACTTTATCTGGCGGTTATTTCATGTGATTTGATAGACTAGATTATTTTGCTTGGTTGGATCTATCAGATTCTTAAGCCGACAAAGCTTATCTCTGAGTGAGTTTGTAGGTTTGAATGCCATCCAAATTCCATCCTTATAAGCAATACTATGTAGACTTTCTGATGTTCCTTCCCTATATGATGACATAATGGAGGCTGTAAACCCTTTTCTACTGGTGTAGTCACTATTTTTTGTATTCTTATCGCTGTTCA